TTAGGCTAGAGTAGACTCTTCTATTAATGTCAATCTTATATAGTCTTTGATTCCCACATTGTAATCTTAAATCTTATTACAGTATGATTTTATAAAACTAAATGGACATTCAGCAAAGTTGAAATGTCATTGCATATAATTTTTTTGGAACGAAAAATATGTCACTAATGAGACTTGAACGCTCGCCCTTCCAAATTGAAAAGGATCCCCAACCAACTCATTTATATCATAAGTTAGCTATTACACATAATCAATGTGTCTATTACACGCTAGATCATATAAGATGACAATGCTTCAACTAGCTCTAATGATGCATGAATTCATCTTCATTTTGTGCAAGGTCAATTGGTTTGATCTTCTCATAAGTAAAGATTTATGTTCTTGAATGGTTACTTCGGATGAAGCTCATACATTTCATTATGATGCCTAGACTTTAAAAACATTTTGGTGCATCTACAAATACGTCCTCACTAAGGTGAACATTAAAGAATGTATTATGAAAAATAGTCTTATCATGCTGGATAATATTATGCAGATATGGAATTAGACATTTAGATGTGTATTTTGCTTGTTGCATTAGAGGAAGAAAAATCTTCAAGTCATTACTTTAGGTAAAAGGATCGAGTTGGGTCGATCGTCACAAGCATTTATTTTATTTCCCATATAAATCTTAAACTTAAAAAGATCCATTGTAATCTAACAACCATGTTGCCAAGAAAAAATCAACTAAGTGTTAAGACTTTGTTGTTTTCATAGACTACATCTATGCATTCATTGTTTTGAACATTGAACCATTTATCATTATGTATTTGATTCTTGAATAGTAGTGCGAGGTGAGTATTGGTAGATTTTTAAATGTCGATATCTTTCTTTCGATTATTTTAGCAATAACAACATACAAGATTGTTAGATAGACATGTACGAGATTTTAGACTTGTATGATGTTTGAAATGCTCTTCAACATTTACAACAGCAGAAAACAAATAAGGTATTTAAATATATGTAAAGGTGGATCCATTAATGTACATACACCATTAAATAACACTCTTAAACATTTACAACGTAAAATAAAGAAAAAAAAATATTGTTCAAAAGTCTTGAATGTTGTGGAGTTTGAAATCTAGAATGCTACTTCGAAATGTTTATTTTCGTACCAATGATCATTGTGGTAAATGGCAAAAAAAAAAAAAAAAAAAAAAAAAGATCGTTAGATAGACCTATGGTGACATTGATAATGATCATTGTTGTATGTATCCCTTTTAACAATTTAAATGTACATTATGATTAAAAACAACTTTATTCTCAATAATAATTCAATTTGTTTATAAACGTACACACGAAAAAAACATTTTTTTGATAATTTGTGACAAGGTCAACTCATTTGACTTGTGTTTTTTTTTATATAGTTTTTTCTTTTTCATTTGAGGACAACACAATTAACAAACGTGTTCCTGGTATATATAAAAAAGTGTCTGCAGCCTATCAAAAAGGTACAAGATTGCCAAGAACGAATTAAATATGATGGGCAACAAAAATGTTTATAGTTTCTTATAAAGTGTCAAAACGATATAAATATCAACTTTACACAATCTAACACTTTAGAGTTTAGGGTTTAAGAACAAATTGGAGCATACATATCTATTTTAGAATCCCTTAGATTAAATTACATTGGTAGACTGAAACAAGTATATATATGCTAATTAAAAATAAAATGATGGCAACAATAACAGAAAACATTGTATTTGGATTTTCTTAAGGGGTTTTCAACGTAAATTTTAAGGATTTAGATTACGGTTAATATTATAAAATACCTTAGATTTCGATTTTTTCCGGATTAAACTTTAACTTTTTATATCTAAAAATACCTTGCATTTTCATTTTTTCGATGTGGCCCTTGTAGCATGTTTAATAGTAGATTTTTCGGTTTTAGACATTTTGTTTTTTTGGAAAACCCTCTACTTTTTTTCCCGAAAAAACATTCACATTTGACAAACTTTTTATATTGAACCAACATTTACATTTCAAAACATAATTCTCATGTTTTGTTGTTGTTGTTTATGATTTTTGTAGTTTAACATTAAAATCTGAAGGAAATATTTGATTTTTTGTTCAAAACAAAGAGAAATATATTGTGTCTAATTATTGTTGGCAAAATGTATATCAAAATTTATTTGCACGAGGCTCAAAGATTGTAGCAGAAGATGAAGAACATTTGTCTAGTGTGTTTTGACAATGTTTCTAATAGGGAAAACATGAAAGCTTAGATTAGATTCTAAACATGGATTGGTGTATGAAAATCATGTTTCTATTTGATTCTTAAAACAATATAAGATATCAAACCAATTTAGACCGTTGTTCTTCATCTACTACAATCTCTAAGCATCATGCAAAATAGATTTTGATATGCATTTCGCTGCAAAATAGATTTTGATATGCATTTCGCCAACAATAACCGGTTAGAGTAGCATTTCTCTTTGTTTTGAAAAAAAAAATTAAATGTTTGATTCAAATTCTAATGTTGAAAACCATTAAGAACACTATAAGCAGAAATAAGAAGAACATGAGATTATGAGTCAAAACTAAAAGAAATTGGTTTAAACAGAAACAAAAAGCGAGTCTAAAAAGAATATAATGATATTATTATGGATCAAACAACTTCTAAGATTGAGTATTGTTAATCGGAGAAAACATGAAATTGAAAGCTGAAACTAGATTCTAAAAAATTTGGCAAATGTGAAGGTTTTTTTTTCAGAAAAAAAAAAAGATGGTTCGGATTTTCTTGGAAAAACTTAAGGGGTTTCTGAAAATATTGTCTAAAACTGAAAGATTGTCGGTAAATCTGTTAAAATGACCATATTAAAAATTGAAAAAATATAAGGTCAACTTAAAAAAAAATAAGGTTCATTTGGAAAAAGAAAAGAAAACTCAATATATAGTTTTTTATGATAAACTATTTTGATTAATACATTAGTCATGTAGAACATTTTCCTCTTTTCAAACTTGTGCTTAATAAACAAAACATGTTGTAACTAAAAATCTAGAATCATAAATATCTATTTGCAAATTAAAAAAAAATGTCATTTTTATACCATACTGTTTACTTTATTTTGTCGATTTCTTAACTGTTTGATGCATCGACTAACATAGTCGGTAAGTAAGAAAGCAATTAGGAAGATATGTCAATGTCAAATTAGCAAAAGTTATTCTGTAAGTAGTTTTATATCTTCCAACCTTATTTTGTGTTAGGTACACCTTGATTCTATTTTGGATTTGCTCACAAGAATCACAAGCACTTCATTATTATGTATCTTATATTTTCAAAAAGTCATTATGTCACACTTAATATGTCATGGGGTTGAATATGTCATCAGACAGATTCTTCACACTTATTTTTATTACTCTCATCTAATGTTTTAAAAATAAGTTATTTAGTTGAACTGATATGATGATCGGTTCTCGGTTCCACCACTAGATCAACTTGGTTTCCAAAAAATTTATGTTTTTTTTTTATTTTCTTACACACACATACGTACATACATACATACATACATCATAAATCAAGAATTTGACGTCTACAAGTTCAAACATTAAAAATATATGTAAAAGCAAGTTGTAAATCAATCGAATACATTAAAAAAACACATAATCATAAGTCTAGCATCAATTCACATACATCAAAAATAAAATAAGGTATAATACCGAAACAAAATATAGTTTTAGATGAAGACAAACACATCAAAAAACTTCATAACATTTATCGTGTGTTTTTGTTCAGACTTCAGAGAAATCTAAATAGATGTGAAAAAGATCACCAAAGTTTGTTATGCAAAATACTTCATTTTCATATGTTTTATTCAATTTAACATGTTTAACCAGTCTTTTGTAAAAAACGGTCGGTTCGTTCCGACTCTTAAATAAACATAAAATCGTGCTAGTTGAGCCACTTCTTTCCTTGGTTCGACCGGCCGGTTCAAACCGATTTTTAAAACATTGCTCTCATCATTTAACATATGTATTTTAATTAAATAATGTTTGAGATGTTAAAATGTTTGAGGATGTGTGATTTTTAAGTTTGAACAAAAGTGTGATTTGTAATATTATGTCGGGTGTGTTCTGTGGGATAGAATTCGGATGAGGTGAAATTTGAGTCTTAAAGGTGTCGAAAAAAAAAAAGCCATGTTAAACCGAAAAATAAAACAAGATTATTGTGACCATATATATTTAAAGTCACAAGATCACAAAAGGACCAACATGTGCGATGATATACCTTGAGAAGAATGGATGAAAGTTATGGTACCTATCTTGATATATACAATGATTGATTTTGAGTTGAACAAATAAAATTTAGAAGATTAACGACTTGTTTATACAATAAAAACTAAAGATACAAGATGAGATTTTTGAAAACGGCGAATAAGAAACATATATTAGAAAAGATGAAACCATAGCAAGAAGCTATGCAATCAGTACAGTAACAGGGAGCAACAAACAGAAACATAAACTAATGTACAAACAAAAAAGTATGCAAGATGTCAAAATGGGAAGCAGCTCCAATCTACCCAACATTTTCCAGAATTACCCATGTATTTGCACCATTCAAACGCATGTAATATAATTGAATCCGCAGTTTTAGTAGGAGATGGATGTTTTTTGTGAAAGATTCTCTCATTACGGGCCGGCCAAAAGATGACCAAACTAAAGATACAAGATGAGATTGAGATAAGATTTTACTGTCGTAATCGAAAATCATACAATCAATCATACGATCTAAACTTTTGATTTTAAATTTAATATAATCCTATCCGAAAAAAGTTTAAATATTGTGCTTATGAAAATAACCCAATCAAGATTTAATAACTTTAACTCAATACTTAAATCCAAAAATATAATTTTAATGGATTGTGTTTTTTCCAATGTTGATAGATAACAATCATTCTAAAAAGTCAAAATCACGCACGAATCACGTGCCGTACGACCTATAACAATCTTAAATTACAGAAAGCATCAATTTTAGTGAAAAAAAACAGAGCAAGAGACCACGACCCACTCACCCACAGAGGGAGAGAGAGTGTGTGTGTGTTTGAGGAGAGGGATAGAGAGATACAGAGAGAGAGAGAGAGTAGCAAGCAGCAAAAATCTGAAGAAAGTAAATGAGGGAAGAAGGAATAAGCTCGTCGGGAGACCCATTACTCTTCCGCAATTCGTCTCCTCGTCCTCCCACCCCCGCTGCCAGGTAAACCAAACCCTAAATCATCAATCAATCATCCAAAATGTAATGCTCATCCAGACCTTTTTATATGACTTTTTCTTTTCTTTCCTAGCTAGGGTTCTTCAATGCCGCGTCATTTCTATACGCGTACATAGCTGTAAATGTAATATATGTTGAATTACGAAAAAAACCCTAGTCTGTAGCTTTTGCACTTCATTTTAAGGTGGGGTAGATTTCCATGTTCTTCTGCCACCTACAAATTGTTTTGTTTTCTGATTCAAAACCTCCTCTACATCAATTTACTTAGTTTCGATAGCCAATAGCGTCACTCCGTACAATATATCGTACTCAATTCAATTTGGGGATATGAATCCAAGCATCAATATTGTTCTGGTGCATCTCAGTTATCGTATTTGGAACTCAAGTTTGAAGTCTATTTGGAATTTAAAGCCGGGATTCCAAAATCGGAGAGGCATTTTGATATTCGTTAGTCAATCTTTGAATACTATGAACAAGGAAATATATGATTAATAATCCGTAATACCTTAATGGCTGTTGTAGACTACTTACAAGTTACAAATTCCATACCAAAAGTGATTGATTGAACATTGAATTCATCCATAATTCTTATCAGTTCTGCTGGGGCATCATCACCTGCTGTTGCCACTAATGCTGGTAGTACAGATTGGTTAGGTCATGGTCAAGGTCAAGGGCAGGGGTCAAAAGTAGGTTCCCTATCTCGAATTGGTTCACAGCCCATGTGGATTTCATTGAGTGCAAGTGCATGTGGTTCAGTTCTTGGCTCATCTCAGCCTTCATGTAGACCATGGGAAAGGGGTGATCTTTTAAGGCGACTGTCTACATTTAAGCCTGCAAATTGGTTTGGAAAGCCTAAGGTTCGTGTAAAATTCCCTTTCTCTCCTTTATTAACATGTTCTACAATCATTTTATTGATCAAATGACTCTCATGCAGGCTGCTAGTTCTCTTGCATGTGCAAGAAGAGGTTGGGTGAATGTGGATATTGATAAGATTGAATGTGAGTCTTGTGGTGCCACCTTGAAATACGTTGCTCCAGATTCATGGACTCCTACAGAAGGTGAAATTTGCTATAATTTGGCTTACATGTATTGTATTCTTGAAATTTGCTATAATTAACTGTATGTTCCTAATAGGTGAGAATCTTGGAGAAGAGTTTGCCAATCAACTTGATGAAGGGCATAAAGTAATTTGCCCTTGGAGAGGAAATAGTTGTGCTGAAAGCTTAGTGCAATTCCCTCCTACACCTCCATCAGCCCTCATAGGAGGCTACAAAGATCGTTGTGATGGATTATTCCAATTTCTTTACCTTCCAATTGTTGCTTCTTCCACACTTGATGAAATGAGGGTTTCTAGAGGCCCTGAAATTGACCGATTTTTGGTTCAATCATACACTTTCACTCCTGGTGAATCTGGATGTAAAGCAGACATTGCATCTGGTTCTGAGAATAATAAAGAAGACACCTTATGCATATATTCACGTGTAAGTTTCATCCACAAACAATCCCATTTTTTTTTACCTAAATATATTTTCACTTTTCCTTTAAAAATGGTATCTGAAATGAGAAATCTTTGTTTAGGCCCAGAAGTTGATAAGCCTATGTGGATGGGAGCCAATTTGGGTTCCAAATGTTCAAGACTGTGAAGAACATTCTGCTCAATCAGCTAGAAACGGATGTTCTTTCAAAACCCCCCTTGTGGGCCCCACTCCCACATCAAGATCCCCTCTCTTAGACTGCAGCTTATGTGGCGCCACAGTCAGAATCTTTGACTTTTTGACCATCACCCGCCCTTCCCGATTCACCCCCAACACAACCGATGTTCCCGAAACAAGCAAGAAAATGACACTGACACGTGGCGTAAGCGCAGCCAGTGGAATCAACGGATGGGTAGCTGACCTTGATGACGTGGCAGCCACAGGTGAAGTCAAGTCAATGTCAAACATCGGAGGAGTTGACTTAGATCTCACAATGGGAGGTGGATTCTCAACCAAAACTGTAATATCCCAACAATATCAAGATCCGAATAATATCGGTAAAGACTTAGCCATCGGGCAGCCTGCGGGCAGCGAGGTCGGTGATCGGGCAGCTTCATACGAATCCCGCGGGCCCAGCACTCGAAAAAGAAACCTGGACGAAGGCGGATCCACCGTGGATCGGCCGCCACATGTCGCGATGCAAGCGGACAGTGTGGAAGGTGTTGTGATTGACCGAGATGGAGACGAAGTCAATGATAGTAAACACAAACGTGTACGCGAATCCAATGTGGGACCCAGTCAGGTTATTATGTATTTTGATGGGCCCCACCACCAACAACAACAAAATGTTGGAAATTCAACTCGGGCTTCATCTGTTATAGCAATGGACATGGTTTACCAAAATGAGGATAATGATTCAATGGAAAGTGTAGAGAATCATCCTGGAAATATTGATATTGATATTGATATTGATAATGAGGGTGTGAGTTTTAATTTCAAAAGTCCGGATTTGAATGAGAATAATAATTATTCGGATTTGAATTTGAGTAATAATCAGGTGCAACAGAGCACGTGTGTAGGTATGGTGAGGGGGCAGGGGGTGAGTAGTACAAATGATGATGATGAGGTTTTAAATATTGATAATGAGAATAGGGGGAGAGAGGTTGATGGTGGGGTTAGTTTTGGAATTAGTGGGGGGAGTGTGGGAATGGGGGCGAGTCATGAGGCGGAGATTCATGGCGGGGTGGATGCTTCTGTTCATAATAGGGCGGAGAGTGTGGTTGGGGATATGGAACCCGTGGCTGAAGTGACTGAGAACCAAGGGCAAAATGGGGAATTTGCTGCGGATTTTGTTCCGGAAGAGAATGAAATGGAACAGATGTCGAGGGCGGATAGTGGGTCGAAGGTTGTGGGGTCCACGAAAGCGGAATCTGTTGAAAGTGGAGAGAATCAGAAGACTAGTAATAATAATAATAATGATAATAATAATGATAATGATAATAATAATATTAATAATAATAATAATATTTCGCTTTCTTGTAATGCGGTTTTGTGTTCTGGATTTGAAGCCTCTAAAGATGAGGTGACACAAGCGGGAAAGTCGTCTCCTACTGATGAATGTGGATTCACAAACGGAATTGGTATGTCCAATTCCAATTCCAATTCCATTCTCTCCTTGTGTTTGTTAAGTCCAAGTAAAATGACCATTTTACCCTTTGTTGTTAGGGCCACCAAATGGAGAAAGCAACTTTGAAGAAGGGGTGGAGTTTGATCCGATTAAGCATCATAACTTTTTCTGTCCATGGGTGAATGGAAATGTGGCTGCAGCTGGTGTTGTCAACACTTCAACTGGTGGTGGTGGTGGTGGTTTAGCTCTTTGTGGGTGGCAGCTAACCCTAGATGCTCTTGATGGATTCCAAACCCTTGACACTAATCAAACTGTTGAATCAGAATCTGCTGCTTCTCTTTACAAGGTTTTTTGTTTAATTTATAAAAAAAAAAAATGATTATTTTTTTTGAAGTGCTAATTGAGTTTTTGTAGGATGATCGTCAAATATCTGGTAGAAAGCTCATGGGGAGACACTCTCATAGTAGAAACCATGGTCAAAATTGAAATCATTGCCAATTCGGTAATTATTTTTTAAAACTTTAAATCTGTGTGGTATGATGGAATGGAATGATTCATTTAAATATTATGTTTGGTATGTATAATTAGAAAACCAAATGACATTAAATTGATCTATATAGAAAAAGAAGTTACTTAAATCAAATAAAGATAAATTACTACAAAATCATGCCTTTTGAAAGAATATACTATGTGAAGAAATTACTTTTAATGAACATTCTAAGAAAATTTTATTTCTCTTAAAAGGATTGTTTACCAAAAAAAAATGAAGTTATGTACTTTAAAAGCTTAAAGTAGAATTATAATGTAAATATCTTGAAAGGGGTTTTTTGTAATTTGTCTCTCTGCCATGTTTGTTTCATGTAACCTCCAGGTACAAGAAAGCTTAAGGACTGCCCTTTTCATGAAAGCTGTGGTTGTTTGATTGATAAGAGGGATGGATGGATGGAGTTATTAGTTATATGAATATGAATATGGTCAATATATCGCCCTTTTATCTGTTTTTTCAACTTTATTTTGTTTCTTATAATATAGCACCACTTTACAATAATAATGCAAACGTGGACTCTTTTATAGGTAGGTTTAATGATTTAATGTAAGACACTAGAAACATATTTGTTTGCTGCACAAATCACAACTTATCCTTTCAATCCAAGCTTTATTTGGAAATTATTTCGATAGTATTTCATTATGCGATGTTTTTTTTCTTCTTTATGTGGTTTAGACTTTGATGGGATAGCTGTTTGTGCGACAAATGGATAAAAACTAAAAGAGAAATTAAATATCCTGCTACCTTATGTTCCTACCAATCATCTTACCGATTTAAATGATTATGTGTCATTTTACTATACTAAAATATCATTAAATTTCATTAAATGAGCATTAAATGTTACACTTGGTAGGAGAATTTTAAATTTCATTAAATGAGCATTAAATGTTACACTTGGTAGGAGAATTTGTAGAAATAAAAAAAGAAGGATATTTAATTTCTCAAACTAAAATTGAAAATTTCTTTCTTTTACAAGAAAATGTATGGAAATTGGTACCATATTCTATTTTGAGATTATTCATAATTTCATATAAATTATTATAATACTATTTTTACAAGACTGACATAAGGCAACGTTTTTGATAAAAGGAACTATAAAAAATAAAACGAGTTGTTGGAAAGAGGGGGATCGATGTGTTTTCTTTGGTGTTTCGGTTATGGAAGTGGGTAGAATCAAAGTTTAAGACATGTAAATTGTAACATGAGACATTTATTCGTGTGATATTATTATAATTATTTACAAAAATTTTAGCTTAATAAATCATGTTTGGCCTATTAATATCTTAATTAAAAAAAAAAAAACAAATACTTAAGGTTAAACACTTACAATAATAATGCAAAATTTTAGTTAGATTCTCGTTATAGGTAATGTATTTTTCATACAATTGTTTTTTATTTCACACAAATAGTGATATAAAATAATAATTTAAAGGTGAGAAAAACATAACTATTTATCTATATCATTCAAAAAAAACTCTTATATTTTGTTTATATATAAAAATCCTTTACATTTTCGGTTATTTTTCACAATATTCAATTTTTTAAAGAAACTGTCAGTTGTTTTGTAACATGACATTTATTTATTTTTTATGTTTTTAGTTTGACAGAAACCAAAAAGGAAATAAAAAATAAAAAGAAAAAAGTCTTTGCTTCTTATATAAAAGATAAATCGTGAGAAATAAATCATTTACTCAAATAAAAATAACTGACATCGATTATAAACACCGGACTTACAATTAGATGAGTTTCACCTCTCCATCCCACTAAACTCCACACTTAACCATAGTTTTTATAATAAAAAAGGGCATTATAGTCTATTTACACATGTTAGGATGAGAACCATAACAAAAAAAATAAAACAAAAACAAACCGAATAAAATAACTAAACGCGTAAATTTGACAATACCACAGGGACGCTTCTTGTAATTTACTCTATAGGCCCCGAATAAAAGCCTCACATAATTCACAAAACCCTAGCGTTCGTCTGACGCCATTATCGTTTTCTAACACCAGCTATAGCAGGTATGTGAAGTGCTGCTTAAAATCTGTAGTTATGCTCTCGATCAAGACTTAGTAACGCTTGTTTCATTATGGATTTGCAGTAATTAATGGATCCTCAGCCAGAACCAGTCACTTACATATGTGGAGGTCGGTTTTCTTGTTATGCTTTCAACAATCTGTTTGCGTATATCGTAATTTCTGCATAAAAATTCCTGATTTCATTCACAAAAACACAATCACGATGCAGATTGTGGACAGGAGAATACGTTGAAGGTCGGTGATGTGATTCAGTGCCGAGAATGTGGATACCGTATTCTTTACAAGAAGCGCACTCGTCGAAGTAATTAACTCTCTCACATGATTCTTATTTCACGATGATTTTGAAAACAACTAGCTTCAAAAATTGATTCGTTTTTCTAGTTTAGTTTGTTTTGCGATATTAGGTTTAGATTTTTGATTGATTACGCATTGATCATTGACTTGAGCTGACTGTGTAACTGCAAATTTATCTGCTGCAGTTGTTCAGTATGAAGCTCGTTGAAGAAGGGTTTATGATGGAAGATCTCTCTCGTGGATATTTTCAAATATGTTTAGGTTTGTAACAAAAATTGAGTGTGAATTTTGGATCTAATGGAATCTCTATTATTATATTTGTGTTTTAGATGTCATCCTGTTTTCATTGTGAAATTGTTCTGAAATGCAAGTATATACCATGGGTATCTCATCATAATGATAATATGCTACTATAAAACAATTACATTTAATGTGTGAAGAAGCAAGCATTTCACTCATTTCATGTGAAAATGAAGAAATTTAACACTGTGACATAGCTATCAACAAGCATCCTCTTACAAAAATCATTATAACAGAAACTCAAAATCATGGGCAATTATACAAAAATCATCAAATTATGAAACTCAAAAGTCAAAACCATGAACTTCTATAATTTTTTACTTAATGTGATTTGGGCACTTGAAGGCATCTAGGATTAGGGGTGGGGGAAATGAGTGGACTGATAACTGGATCGTTAAGCATAGATTTTTTGGATTTTGGACTGATTGGAACTGCACAACTTGCCATGCATAGGGCACAAGCTGATGAAGTAGTTGCTATCTAATGGTGTAGATGAGTTATTCATTTTATAATTGCTTAATTGATCCACCAGTTTACAATTTGTTTACAATTTGTCTATTCGATTTTCCACATTTTGGTTGCGCATATCCACTTTGTTTTGTTTGTGAATAATGATAATGTTATTGCTTCTTTAAATTTCCATTAAGGTATTAAATTTGGGCTTTTAAACTTGGCTCATTCTCACTTCCTATAATTTATCTTATTTAAAAAAAAAAAAGAACTAATGATTATATATTAATATTACATAGCCAAAAAAATTTTGAACCTCTTTAAACGATGGACCCTGGACAGTCGCCCCTATTTTTCGCTATTTGGACTGTGCCTGAATGATTTTTACTCTCCAAACACTACTTTCATGTAACATGGTTTATTATAACTCTTTGTTTATTCTTGATTTTTTAATACCACATAATCAGTTTCGAAAGCTTCATATTGTTAATTAAATTGATGATACATTTGATTATAATGAAACAAACTATTAGTTGGTTTTGAGAATAAATAACAAAAGTCGGCGGTAGAATATGTTTGTTTTCATAGATTTGGATAGAAAAACATTGAGGCGCCCCTCATCGTCATCCCAAAAATATTGACCAATCAAACATAGTACATTACTACACATATCAACAAGATCTTGTAACCCAATCTTACCCCATCCACGTGTCAAATGATGTCCAACAAGGACAAAAGAAATCTCTCATGTCACATGTCCAATCCTCATTGGTACCTATGAATTTTCAAGCTCCCCCTCTTTATATTTAATAGGTTTGCCATTGGATTCAACCCAATTACACTTGAAGAAAATGGCAGCACAAGCACTTGTTTCATCATCATCTCTTACTTCCTCCGGTGACTCCACCAGGCAAATATTGGCCGGAAAACCACTTCAAACACCATCAAGAAAAGTCTCTTTTCTTGTCAAAGCTGCCTCTTCTCCCCCTGTCAAGGTCTCTCTCTCTCTCTCTCTCTCTCTCTCTCTCTCTCTCACACACCACTCAATGTCATAATGTATATTCAAGAATTGTCCCACTTAAGGTGATTTTGTAAAATGTTCCTGGCTATGGACAAACATGTATATAAATTCTGAAAGTTATGGGAACCTTTTTGTAGGGTTAGATGAAAGAAACCAAAATGTGCTTACGTTGATTTGTTTGTTATAGCATCACTTCTTATTACAACATTATACCTTGAAAAATATACCAAATCATAGCCAATGCCATTTAAACACAAAGCAATTTTCACTTAGATAATTGGATAGTCTTTCTAAAGTATACTGTCGTAATAAGAAAAATAATTGAAAATACAATCCTACAATTTAGTAGATTTTAAAATATACAATGCCTTAAAAAACATTGACAATACAACGCTACAAAAAAAAAAGTAGGATTCTATAATAGAAAAATAAATAAAATCACATTAGTTTTTCTTAACAAATTAAAAGTACGTTGATATTTTATAGTTACTTGACAACTTGTTGTATATCAGCAAGGAGCAGGCAGACAACTCTGGTTTGCATCAAAACAATCACTTTCTTACTTAGACGGCAGGTACTACTTTACTTCAATCTTGCTATTTCAAAAATAATCTAAAGAAAATTACAAATTTGGTCCTTGTGCTTTTCTCAAATAGCAAGTTTGATCAATTTTCTGAAATCTTCCTGAAGCCATCCTTAAGTTTGCATTTTGTTTCAGATTTAGGTGTACTTTACTTAAATTTACAAGTTCAATCGAAATTTTGGAAGTGTCTCTGCTTTGTCCCTAAGTTTGTATTTATTTCATTACAGATATAGTCCCTGTGCTTTACTCAAAATTTCAAATTTAGTCCAAATTTTGAAGTCATTTTCTAAATGAGGGACCATATCTCCAACTAAATGCAAACCAAGGACGATTTGAACATTGGGTCTCAACTTGTGATTTTTGGTGTACAAAATTTAATTTACTCTTTCGTTTAAGACTTGCATTTGGTTGAGAAAGAGACTATATCCACCAAGAAATGTAACTTAAGGACGACTTTGGGAAGAATAAAAAAACTAGACTAAAGTTGCAAATTTGAGTAAAACACAAACAAAATTTGTAATTTACTCAAGATTCAAGAATCTATTTCAAAATTTCAATCTTTATTTTACCTAAAACTTTCAAAATATACAGTTTACCTGGTGATTTCGGGTTCGACCCACTTGGGCTCTCAGACCCAGAAGGAACGGGTGGGTTCATCGAGCCCAAATGGCTAGCCTACGGTGAAGTCATCAACGGGCGGTTCGCCATGTTGGGTGCAGCCGGAGCCATCGCACCTGAGATTTTCGGGAAACTCGGTCTCATCCCACCGGAAACCGCCCTCCCGTGGTTCCAAACTGGTGTCATCCCGCCAGCTGGCACATACAGCTATTGGGCCGACCCGTGGACCCTATTCTTCATGGAAATGGCACTCATGGGTTTCGCAGAGCACCGAAGATTCCAAGATTGGTATAACCCCGGGTCAATGGGGAAACAATACTTTCTAGGGTTGGAAAAAGGGTTTTCCGGGTCGGGTGACCCGGCATACCCGGGCGGCCCGTTTTTTAACCCGTTAGGGTTTGGGAAAGATGAAAAGTCAATGAAAGAGTTAAAGTTGAAGGAAATCAAGAATGGTAGATTGGCGATGTTGGCGATTTTGGGTTATTTTATTCAGGGTTTGGTTACGGGTGTTGGACCCTTCCAGAACTTTCTAGACCATTTGGTTGACCCGGTCAACAACAATGTGTTGACCAGCCTTAAGTTTCATTAGAGTGTAAATCTTTTTTTAATACATGGCAGAGTGTTATTCGGAATATTATATAATTTAATTCGTAACAAAATTTCAAGTTTAAGGTTATTGGAACCTTGTTGGTATTCATACATTAAAGACTTTGAAAAATTATATAAATTCTCAGTTTCTAGAAGGAAAGATCCGTGCGAATTGTAGGTGCACGTTAGCATAACAGATAAGAGAATAAAGATTAAACGAGACGCCACGTCATCATCATGCAGCTTGAGCTAAAGCTTCGGGTGCATCAGCTCTGAAAGTGAAAAGAGAAAAATACAAGTATTTCGCATAAATTGAAAAAAGATAAAAATTGACATATTTTGCATTAAATAGAAAAAAAGATAAAATTAGACAAAAATCTTCATGTTTACCTTTGAAGTCCTTCGCCAACTTCCATTCTTAGAAAGTTTCCAATTTTCACAGGGGAGCCGACTTCCTTTGATAGATCACTTAAGAGTGTCTGCAAGAAATTTTTTTTTTTTTTTTTTTTTAATTAAAAAAAATAAAATCAATTACATTTATGATTATTATTATTTCATATATATATATATATATATATATATATATATATATATACCTTGACGTTAATGGTGTCATTGACGATAAATTTTTGCTCCATTAAAACAACTTCCTCAAAATATTTCCTTAATCGCCCTTCAACCATCTTCTCAATCGCTGCCTGAGGCCTTCCGGAACTTTCAGCCTGGTATATAAAAAATAAAATAAAAAAATCATTTAAGTTTTTGCATAAAACCAAAAATAAAATAATCAGTTTCTAGACAATTTAGCTTCATTTTTTTTCTTCTAAAAACAATAAACAAAATTTCTCGGTTTTTGGTAAATGATTATTTTGATATTTTTTACTATCTGTTACATTTTTTCAATAAATAAAAATATAAAATCACCTGAGACTTGAGAATCTCACGTTCATTTTGAACAGCATCATTAGAAACAAGTTCTTTTGTTAAAACTAAAGGCTTTGATGCCACCACATGCATAGCCAACTCAGCACCTACACGTTGCACACCATCTAAACAAACTTTTTCATCTTCAACTTCAAGTGACAAAATTCCCGCAATTCTTCCCAACCCTAAAAAGAACATTTAATCATTTTCTTGAAAAACCATTTAAGTTTCCAAGATTTGTAAATAATAATATAATGTTACCAGGTTGTGGGCATGTGTGGAGATATGTAGACATTACACCATGTGCTGACATGGACATTGTGAAACCCCTTCTCAGTTTTACATTTTCTCCCATCATTGCAGCCACTTCTTTAATTGCATTTTGAACTGTTGTTTCTCCGTTTAATTTTGGATGATTAATATTGATCTTCAAATCCTACAGAAAAATTGAGACTCTAATTATATAACTTAATAGCCCTAATTGTGAAAAAGTATGTAACTTTTCTGTATTAAGTTGTTCTTTATGCAAATAAATAGTAAAAGAAACACTCATTTATAGTTATATCTAGATTAAGGGTGGTATTTATTATTTACTATTTACCTCTAAAGATACAATTACCTATTTGCCCATTATCATCGATTAATTGTTCTATGCTATAGGAGTCAACAAGATTCCTTTATTATCATTATTACTTGAGGGTATTGTACACATTTTACAAATATTCTTATACATCTATAGTTCTAGAAAACTATGTGTCAATCAAACTGTTTAGTCCATTTAGTCCCCTTAACCTTTTTTAACCGGTTAATAGCACCACATAAGCAAGTTAAGTTAACTCAGTTATGACTTGGACCATACGACGTCGCTTTGAACATGACGCAACTTAATTCGGTTCACATTTGAGTTTGACGATACAACGCTGTTTTGAACTTAACCCTTAAGGAGCAAGTTACGGACTGTTCATTGCCCTAAGTGTTTATAAAACGAATGTTGGTGCTCTAAAACGATTATAGTCATTAAGTTTCTTGCCCTAAACTCGCAAACATTATCAGACCCTAAGTAAGACAAAATGCCTTCTGTTACGTCGCCGTCGCCGTGCCACAGTTGGTCCTTCAAAGATCGCCTTCACATACCCGTGAATGGCTCTATTGCAGGCGAGCCACATGACATCCAAATCACTCTTCTCAAACATCAGCTTGAGGTTTCCCTTATCAGGGACAGGGAGGAAGTCAATGTGGACCAACATCAGTTAAGGCAAAGTCTTTGTCTGGAGATGGATTCCATGAATCGTAAGGTGGATGATAGAAACCCAAACCCTTATATCATTTACCTCACGATTCATGAAATCCATCTCCCAACGAAGACTTTCCCTTAGCTGACACTAGTCCGCATTGACTTCCTCCCTGTCCCTGGTAAGGGAAACCTCAAGCTGATGTTTGAGAAGAGTGATCTGGATGTCATGTGTCTCGCCCGTCATTCGCTGGTATGTGACGGCAATCTTCGAAGGACCAGCTGTGGCGCGGCGACGTAATACAAGGCATTTTGTCTTACTTAGGGTAGGATATGTTTTGCGAGTTTAGGGCAAGAAACTTAGTGACTGTAATCGTTTTAGAGCACCAACATTCGTTTTATAAACACTTAGGGCAATGAACAGTCCGTAACTTGCTCCCTAAGGGTTATGTTCAAAACGACGTCGTATGGTCCAAGTCATAATTGAGCTAGCTTAACTTGCTTATGTGGTGCTACTAACTGGTTAAAAAAAGGTTTAGTAGACTAAATGGACAGGTCAATAAACAATTTGTAACATCAAAAGGCATGGAAAAAACTTTAGGGACTATTGGGCAATGCCATAATGCATAATAGGGCCAATGTGTCATTTTCCAATAAAACTAAGCTACAACAACAATTTAAATCTAGAAAAAGCTTTAAAGAAAATATAATTAACCAGGATTTTGAATCTCTTACCTCTAAACTCTCGAGTCCAACAGGGAAGGCACCAGATACTTGTCCTGAACTTTCAGCAGATAATGCCAACTTGGCCAAAGATAAGGCCTAAAAAAAAAAGCAGACACATTAAATTCATAGCAAAAAGTAAAACACACTTGAAATGAAAGCATAAACCTAATTATAGTGACACTAACCAAGCACTGAAATATTTCATTTCTTGCAACAAAATCAGTTTCACAATTAAGTTCAATAACAGCAGCCTTTGTATCATTCTGTGCAAGAGCAAGCAAACCCTCAGCTGCAGTGCGAGATGATTTCTTTGATGCAAGAACAATTCCCCTTTTTCTCAGTTCCTTTTGAGCAGCCTCTGTAACATAATCGATCAATCACCATGCTATGATTATCAAGCAAACAAAGGGCAATATGGGAAATAAAGAAAAAAAAACACAAGAAAAATATGTTACCCAAATCCCAGTTGCAATCAATAAGAGCAGACTTGACTTCTTTGATAGGAGCACTGGTTCTTTCTCTTAGTTTCTTTATAAGGCTCATATGATCTGAAGGCGAAGAAGCCTCACTTGAATATTTTCTCACAAGTGCACAATGATTGATGACGTAATTTGGTTTAGAAACCAAGTTTTCTCTACATGTTTGTGTAGAGTAACCATAGCGGGAATGTATAGGAGTGTTCAATCGCCTGCAAAGAATCTCAATCGACTGTTTTGCGCCTCTGGAAAACATCATTTCGGAAAACTGCATATGATAAGTTACAGAATTCAATGATATGAAATAGCATAGATGTCGTATTCCATCCTAGAAAATTGCAAACTTCACTTCCATAGATTTTGTAGCTCAGCTGGTACTATTAAGGGCTTCTATGATTTCAGATCGCATAACTGTTAAAACTGTTTTCTTAAACTAGCATATAATCAGAAGCTTTATAATCATGATGCATACAGATTTTACAAGGGCATATAGAAGATAATCGAGAAACAAGTAACAGAGGTCAAGGAGGGGAATTGGGCAAACATTGATATCGATACAGAGGAGAGAGAGTGAATGAAAAGAAGAACATACCTTTGTCGTCCGTCGTCGGGAGATGAGAAAGAAGCAATGTGAGGTTTAAGAGAGTGTAAGAGTTGCCGGTGGCGGTGGCCGGAGATGAATGTGTTAATGTGTACTTGAATTTGGGGCAATCGGCGGGCCTAGCGTGTATAACCGGGCTAGGTTTATAAGGCCTGGGCCTAAAATATCATTTTTTATAAGGGACATTTTTATGTTTTCTTACCATTCTTTATTTCTTTAATAAACTTAGTTTTATAATATTTTTAGTCCACTTTCCAAATAAATGAAAACCTTTTATCGTGAGTATATTATCTTTTGCAAATTTGTCCTAAAAACATATCTACTGTATTTGGAATAGAGACAAAAATATTAAATAAGGATCAAAACTAAGATAAAATTTTAAAATCAAAATTAAAAAATTTAGTTGTACTTAAAATACAAAAAGTATAATTTACTCTGTTCTAAGATAAACGCCAAACATTTGTTCATGTTGTCTCAAACAAAATAATTTCAAATATTCGTTTTTGGACTCTTAACTAATTTTTAAACAAAATTTAGCGTCAATTTATAAAAATAATGAACTTTACCCCCCCCCCCCCCCCCCACACACACACACACATATATATATATATATATATATATATATATATATATATATATATATATATATATATATATAGAGAGAGAGAGAGAGAGAGGGAAAGAAAGGTAGTTTCAAATGTTTTTGATAACTATTGTGTGCTTGTATGCAGTAATAAGAATTCAGGAAAAAATTAATCATTAATTAAATTAATAAGGGTAATTTAGTAATTTCCTTTAAAAAAAATTAATCATGTGACCAATGTTTTCAATATCCATCCTCCTTAATAAATGAATGTTTTTTTTGCCACATGTCAATTTCTCATGAGTTTTGACATTTGTCATTTTGTGGTATTTTTGAAATAAATATTATCCACTTGTCAATTTTTGGTTTGTTTCATTTTTCAAAATTAAAGTCGTATACTTATATATGTAAAGTATTAAATATCATATATATGATATTAAATTGCAATACATATGTTTCTTCCTTTCTTATTTTAAAGTTGTACATTAAAAAATATTTTCTATTTACACTTTAATTTGATGTTTAATCTTTGTTTAAATCAACCCGTGTAATACACGGGTCACACACCTAGTTACATATTGCATTCCTATTGTGTATCATTCTAACATTCTTCATTGATTTCCCAAAATGCAGCTATGGATTCTAAAATTCCAGAAACTTTTTTCAAACAATGATACATTCTCCAAGAATCAGTTGGAAACAAGTCTAGCCACAAGATCGACTGCTTATAATAATCCAAAAAATTCTGTCAGAATATATTAAGGTAAACTACATACTATTTTGTCAGAATTACAATAACATGTTTATACTTGTGTTAAAATATTCTGTTAGAAGTAATGTAGATACTATTATGTTAGAATTCCTATGGAATTGAAGTTTAAGCAAGAAACATAAGTGAAATATTGTCTTAGAATTGAAGTTAATATGTGTAGTTATGTTATTTTTGTGTTTTTATTTTGAAAAAAAAAGATGGTATAGATTCTATAAGAATATAAGTTAAAACTTGTGGGTTAAAGCATAATTTGAATAAACATGGTATTTTACAACTTTCTATTGCGTATTGTAGCCAAATATATTTTATGTATAAACATTCTAAAACATAGAATGTATAAATGCATTCCATTAGAATGTCTGTAAGAATGTTTGTGAACAACAAGTATATATTTTTTAACTCGTAATACTAACGAGTGATGTATTTTATTCTTTCAGAATGGCTTGAAGGAATCAAGTAAATTATTTGGACCATTAAAGAAGATCAAATGTATTTGTTCAATAATTGTATATTTAAGAATGCAGTTTTGTAAGAATTTTATTCATTTTTTATGACATCTGTTAGAATATGTGTAATTATATTAAAATATATAAGGTTGTTATTTTGTAAGAATATGTATTAATTTGTATTTAAGTTCGGATGTATATGAATAAATATAAGAATGTTGTTATTATTCAAATGGGGGTTCAAAAAAATGATTCTTAATAATTTTCTAATAGAATACCATTCCGACAGAATCATGGGACATCATTCTAACAAAATAACATTCTCATAGAACAAATTTGGTTTATGCTTACAAATTACGTTTGAAATTGAATTAGTTAAAAAATCAGATCCTTTAAATCAAGAGCATTAATTATCCCCTAAATCTCGAATTTTCCTTTTTTAAGTTTGTCTCAATTGTCTAAAATACCCTTATAATGAATTTAGATGGTGTTTTGTGTTATCTTTAATTTAATAATATTTATTAATTACCTACTTAAAATAATTAAAATGATTGATCCCAATCAACCACACATGCACATAATACTTATCAAAAACACAATAACCTAACCCTATATATATATATATATATATATATATATATATATATATATATATATAGTCATTTATGTTTGTTTTTACACATACCATTAAACTTGTTTATATTATTTAAAAAATCATTATGGTTGTTGCGACTGGCAAGACTGGCTGAGGAATCTCCGGTCAGAACCTGTAGCCATAATCAAACACTGCGTCAGACATTCTCCGGGAAAGGATCCCAAAAGGACACTTCGGCGATCTAGTTAGCTACCTTGTAGAGAGACTTAGTGGGGTATGAGGGAGAGAGTAAAATATATCGTACCTCTTTAGGCGCTTCCCGAGTCCCTTATATAGTTAGGGTTTTAAGTGAAGGGGACCAGAATAACAACACTTGATATACCAGACTCCTATTGGTCCACCTGTCTCCATCTGACCTTTCCTCTGTCCTGATTGGAGCAGATGGAATAAATTGTAGTGGCCCGTGCGCAATCATACTGACGTCTCTCTTTGTATGATAGCTCATAGCCCTACTTGGGGAACAAGAGACTTTCCCCTAGATGACGTTAGCTGCTTGTCGATGATGGTTGATCCTTCCGTCTGTCCTGCTAGGGTCTCGCCTCGACATTCCTTTCTGCTGACTCGTAGGCTTAGTTGGGAAATGTTGTTCAGTTGTTCCTTCTTTCATACGTTCGAGCCAGTGGCCGCCTCGCTAGACGAGATACCATTGCGTTTAGCTACGCCACGATAGACCGCTATGGGGTACGTCATCAAGCCCCTAGTCTAGTAGTGATGACATAACGCAGTAAGTCATCATGTGCTAGACTCATAGGTACACGTTTCACTTATTTATCTTTCGGGAAGTTATTTGTAACACCCAAAAATTTCATGCCAATTTTAAACTTTTTCAAAACATTTTAAAACCAATCATCATTACAAAGTTGTTTTCAAAATATCTAACATCAGAGTTTTCCCAGAAACATAAACAAATCAGGAGGAGTTGTACGATCATGCATTCGCCTTGTCGTGATCCCCTGATGTACCTGAAACAATAAACTGAAACTGTAAGCCCGAAAGCTTAGTGAGTTCCCCCAAAATACTCATACCCGCAACAACACACATATAATCATAAACAACATACTATGGGTCCAGTCAACCAGCAGGTTGGAATACCCAGGCCCTCAACCTTCCGGTTGGAATGCCAACATACTATGGGTCCAATCATCCTCGGGATGGGATACCCCAAGCCCACAACCAACAGGTTGGAATGCCCACATACTATGAGTCCAATCATCCTCGGGATGGAATACTCACGGCCCACAACCAACAGGTTGGAATTCCCAGGTCTATTGGCTTTCGCACAAAGCAGATAAGCCTCAACCGCCAAACAAACATGTGCACATATAACAGATAATCATATAATAGTCTATAGACATAACTGATCTAACATATCATACCACATACCACATAATATTATCCTAACCTCTAGGATACCGATCTAACAGATCATACTAGCATAACATAGCCAATAACAATTCAAAGGGCCGGCCTTGGTGCCTTAGAACCTTGAGTATAGTGAGGATAACTCACCTCACAATGTCGTACTGAAAGTGATAGGCTTAAACTCTCGAATTACCAACACGAACTCCACCACCTATAGATACCATAAAACCCTTTTTCCATAAATCTCCAAATTACCAAAATACCCCCAAAGGTCAACTTGTCAACCCTTGGCCAAGGTCAAAGTCAACAGTCAAGGTCAAGAGTCCATGTTGACCCAACTCGTCGAGTGCAGTTCACCGACTCGTCGAGTTCTTCCTGAACTCGAGAAGTTGTGAAATCCTAGGTTGACTCGTCGAGTTCCCTTATAACTCGTCGAGTTCATACGTGTCCAAAGGTTGAGAGAAACCCTAGCCGACTCGCCGAGTCTTCGACTGACTCGCCGAGTCCAAGGCAATCTTCAACGGACTCGCCGAGTTGTTCATCAACTCATCGAGTTCATGCCCATCTTCATATGACTCACCGAGTTGTTCATCAACTCGTCGAGTTCATGCCCATCTTCATATGACTCGCCGAGTCGACCTTGCGACTCGCTGAGTCCCTTCAATCCTTCATCCATATAGATGCTTTTTAAGCCATGCCAAGGCTCCATATTGTAGATCCAGCTTCCCAAGGCATGTTTATCACGTAAAGTTGCAAACTTTACATGCATGCAAGGCTCTAAAGGCTCTAAATGACAAATCTAAGATTATAATGGAGTTTTACACTCAAGGAGGGCTTCATGCAGGACCCAGCTCGAAACTTTATGAACCTAGAACCCAAGAAGGGTCCAGATCTGAAGTTGCAACTTCAGATCTAGCTTATACATCACAATATCATCATAACCAAGCCAAAAATGCCCTAAACCCCACCCAAATGAGATCTAGAAAGAAAAGAGGTAAAGGTGACGACTTGATACCTTCAAATGATGCTAACTGAGGTAGGTTTCTGATCCCCACAAGTTCCTTGCTTCTAGCCACTTGATTCTCCAAGCTTTCCTCACTAAGATTCACCTTACAAAACTTATAACACACCAAAAGAAGCACACACACAAATTAGGGTTGGTTTGGTTCTCAAAAGACTGTAAGGGGGGGGGGGGTAAAGGGAGGTTGTTGATCCTTTAAATAGGGTGCAAAACCCCGGGATTTAGGGTTTCTTCTGCCAGCTCCTACTCATCGAGTCCCTTCTTGGACTCGGCGATTAGGTCATTAA